GGGGGGGGGGGGGGGTGCGCGGCCAGGGCATGTAAACACGCGTGCGCAATCACGTGCTCGAGCGTCACGCCATAACACTATTAACCGTTGAGACGAGCACATCGGGAGCTGCCGCGTTATTTTTTAGATAATTCCGTGGCGATTTTTAATACCGACTTCGCGACAATTGAGGCGATAATTAAGACAAATTAAGACGCATACTCTTCACGCGAGCAGGTGTTGTGGACTTTACCGCGACAGGTAATTATCGCGTTTCATTTACTTTCTTACTTGTTAGAAAGTAAATGGAGAAACGTCGCCATCGAGTTCCTCAATGCCGATCAGATATTATCATCATCCATTTATTTTTCGAATATTATTACTTCTTTATTCGGTTGTCATTTTATTATTTTTATTGCGTATTGGGAAGCAACTCGAGCATGTCGTTACGACGATTTCCTTACTTCGTCGTGTGTAATTAATTGATACTACCGGATATTATTATATGGTTGTCGATCAGATATTAATATCATCATCCATTAATTAATCAGGTATTATTACTTCTTTATTCAGTTATGATTTAATTATTTCTTATTGCGCATTGGGAAGAAACTCAGCGTGCCGTTACGACAATTTCTTTTCCTCGTTTTGCTGTCGCGTGTAATTAATTGATACTACCGGATATTATTATATGGTTGTCGATCAGATATTAATATCATCATCCATTAATTAATCAGGTATTATTACTTCTTTATTCAGTTATGATTTAATTATTTCTTATTGCGCATTGGGAAGAAACTCAGCGTGCCGTTACGACAATTTCTTTTCCTCGTTTTGCTGTCGCGTGTAATTAATTGATACTACCGGATATTATTATATGGTTGTCGATCAGATATTAATATCATCATCCATTAATTAATCAGGTATTATTACTTCTTTATTCAGTTATGATTTAATTATTTCTTATTGCGCATTGGGAAGAAACTCAGCGTGCCGTTACGACAATTTCTTTTCCTCGTTTTGCTGTCGCGTGTAATTAATTGATACTACCGGATATTATTATATGGTTGTCGATCAGATATTAATATCATCATCCATTAATTAATCAGGTATTATTACTTCTTTATTCAGTTATGATTTAATTATTTCTTATTGCGCATTGGGAAGAAACTCAGCGTGCCGTTACGACAATTTCTTTTCCTCGTTTTGCTGTCGCGTGTAATTAATTGATACTAAATTATTAAATTACTAAATTAAATTTCTGTCACAGAGATTCAATAGAACAGACGCAGTCACGCGGCTCTAGGGGATGCGATACCTGGGGGGAGGATTCGGTTCGGGCCTGTCTGAGTCGGCTCGAAGGTGAGTTTCACTAATTTGTACTTATAATGTAGTGCATGCTTATTAAATCAATGCGATTTACTTTGTTGTAGTTGTAGTATGTGTACGTACCGTCCAATAAAAATCATACTGCTTGAAACAATTGGAAGATCGCTTTTTCAAATAATAATATTAGTGACTAATGCATATTTTACATAAATTTGGCAAATAAATTTTCAAGTGTTTTTCTCCCATTGTATTTATATATATTTAGAAATTGATTAACTTTAATTATTGATTGGTCGACGATTTTTGTCGAATGAAATTTTTATTAATCAAACTCAAACACTATCCTTAAAGTATTGAGTATACGATCTGAACATTCAAAATATTGTAAAATTATTCAGTTCAATTGAATGCGATCTTACAGGTGTCTCGAATATCGCACCAATGCGCAAAGAGATTGTGCCAACGTGCAAAGGAATTGCGTCACAGAGATTGCGCCACAAAAAATGCGCGCAAAAATCACATCACCCGCGTCATAGATCTTCTGTCGGTCGTTAATTTTCTCAATTTTCTCTCTCGTGTGAGTTTCAATCGCGATTACATTTTATAAAGTAGAATTCGTGCTTCGTTATTAAGTAAAATTCGATATCATGCGGCACCTGCACAAAGCGATCTAACGTGATTATACAAACTGCTCGCAAAATTAATTTCACGATCGTCGTAAAATTTTCAGATCTCAATTTTTCACTTAGAGTTAGAGTTTCTTGACGAGGGACACAATGGAGACAATGCTAGCGAGTGTTGATCCCTCGCGAAAACCGCGATGTACACAAGTCAGATATGCGATCAGTTTATTTACTTACGCGGCGCACGACAAATTCCATCGAACGAAGACAGACGTCTCACGTGGTAAAATTTTTTTCCGCGTGAATTTTGAACAAAATCTTTATCTCTATCGTCAGAATTTTCATAGTTTTCGGTTTTTCATTCACGCTTGCGTTTGCGATTATTAATTTGACAGGTTTGCGAATTTTATCGGATCGTACTTGCGGAAGAGTCGCGAGCGAACTTCGCAGAAATATTGCGGAGTTGTTATCCGCAAAAGCATTGCAGAATTGTCTTCGCAAAAGTATTGCGGAGCTGTTATTCGCAAAAATATTGCGGAAGTATCCTCGCAAAAGTATCGCGGAGTTGTTACCCGCAAAAACATTGCGGAATTGTCTTCGCAAAAGTATTGCGGAGCTGTATTGCAGCCTACTACGCTGCACCATCGAAACGTTACATTAGAGATATTCCGTGTCGTACGTGAGAATTTCGCACAGATTACTTCGCCCAAACGTCAAAAGATTTCACGAAATCGGCCTTCGCGTCGCATGTTTCCTTCGCTCGCGGATTCTGTTTTCTTCGTAAGCGATTCGCGTCGGGCGTGTATCAAAGCGATACACTACAACTCGATCGGACCGTTGCTGAATTCGTCACACTTACTCGTCGTTTATCCAAAAGTCCGACATTTCCTCGAAGACGCAGTTCACGATATTTCATACGCAATTCGCAACTCGGAGTGTATCCCTCAAGAGAGACGGGATTTTTCGTGAAACCTCCGTTAGATTACCGCGGTCGGGAGTGAATTACAGGCGACGTAGGACGCGAGGACCATTGCAGTATCAGATGCAGCGACAGGATAGTTGGTGGACCCTGGACACCGTGGGACGACGCGCAATGGTGAGCGCTCAATTTAGACGCTCATATAGTAGACAAAGCGTCACTTTACATAGATTGCATGAACGTAGACGTAAATCGCATTGGGTCCGACGGGAAGTAAAGTAAGAATTGGAATTTGCAGTTCGCCGGAGTTACGTAAGAATGATCCAACCAAAGAAGCTCTGAGATTTTCGCAATAGTTCAACGAGTCAAGCATTTCCATTTCTTTAAGAATACTGACTAGCTCAATCCTTAGAAAAATGTGCAAAAAGATACGACGGTAAAAAATTAAAAAACTATTTCTTAATTCATTTTAAGCATTTATAAAGCTTGAATTTTTTTGTTTGGTTTAAAAAGATGTGAATGAAGTATCCATTGATAAAAGCTTATAATCTTTTGAATTGGACCATTCTTGGACAATGGTCAATTGAAATTTCGACTCGGCAGGCTTCCTTCTCGTCGGATTGTTTCTTGATGATATATTAAACTGATATATTTCAACATGTCATATTTATATGCTCTGTATATGTTATATATGCTTTATTTATGCTCTATATATGTTTTATATACACCCTATGTATGCTCTATATATACTATTTGATTAATATACTTTCTAATTTGTTATGTTGCATTAAATACGACATATCTCTTCGGAAATATTTTTTTATGCATACGCATTTGTCGTTGATGAGACGACAAATTAAATTTCGACAAATTAAAGACAACAAATTAAATTATTAAGTAGAAAATCTAACCGAAATGTTTCAATTTTCCGCTAAATTATTAAACCAAAATTCGGAGCCGAGTGTTTTGAGATTCCGCTAAACCATTCAGCCGAGTTTACAATCGATGCGTTTTAGGCTTCGCTAAATTACTAAGACGAGATTGAATCGAAGCGTTTTGTGTTTCCGCTAAACCGTTAAGCCGTCATTTCCGAAAATATACCTTTGCAAACGCAAAAATTTATTTAAAAAACTTTAAAAAATTATCCCAGGTTTAACTAACTTGACTTAATAAATTAGCGAAGACACAAAACACTTCCGTTCGAATCCCGAACGGAAGTGTTTTGTGTCTTCGCTAATTTATTAAGTCAAGTTAGTTAAACCTGGGATAATTTTTTAAAGTTTTTTAAATAAATTTTTGCGTTTGCAAAGGTATATTTTCGGAAATGACGGCTTAACGGTTTAGCGGAAACACAAAACGCTTCGATTCAATCTCGTCTTAGTAATTTAGCGAAGCCTAAAACGCATCGATTGTAAACTCGGCTGAATGGTTTAGCGGAATCTCAAAACACTCGGCTCCGAATTTTGGTTTAATAATTTAGCGGAAAATTGAAACATTTCGGTTAGATTTTCTACTTAATAATTTAATTT